AGCCAAAACTATGAACAGACAGATAACAAGGTCTGAAGTCGAGGCAGCAATTAAGAGCCTACCACACAAAAAAAGCCCAGGTCCAGACGGGTTCACAGCTGATTTCTACCAGACACACAAAGAGGAGCTGGTACCATTCCTTCTGAAACTATTCCAAATAATCCAAAAAGAGGGAATCCTTCCCAAATCATTTTACGAGACCAACATCATCCTGATACCAAAGCCCAGCAGAGACCCAACAAGAAAAGAAAACTTCAGGCCAATATCCATGATGAACATAGATGCAAAAATCTTCAGTAAAATACTGGCAAGCCGATTGCAACAGCACATCAAAAAGCTTATCCATCATGATCAAGCAGGATTCATCCCGGGGATGCAAGGCTGGTTCAACATAGGCAAGTCTATAAACGTAATTCACCACATAAACAGAACCAAAAACAAAAACCACATCATTATCTCAATTGACGCAGAGAAGGCCTTTGACAAAATTCAACAGCCCTTTATGCTAAAAACCCTCAATAAACTCGGTATTGATGGAACATACCTCAAAATAATTAAAACTATTTATGAGAAACCAACAGCCAATATCATACTGAATGGGCAAAAACTGGAAGCATTCCCTTTGAAATCTGGCACTAGACAAGGATGCACTCTCTCACCACTTCTATTCAATATAGTACTGTAAGTTCTAGCCAGAGCAATCAGGCAAGAAAAAGAAATAAAGGGTATTCAAATAGGAAAGGAGGAAGCCAAATTGTCTCTATTTGCAGATGACATGATAGTATATCTAGAAGACCCCATCGCCTCAGCCCAAAATCTCCTGAAACTGATAAGCAACTTCAGCAAAGTCTCAGGATATAAAATCAATGTGCAAAAATTACAAAACCCATCACCAATAACAGACTTAAAGAAAGCCAAATCAAGAACGAACTGCCATTCACAATTGCTACAAAAAGAATAAAATACCTAGAAATACAACTCACCAGGAACGTAAGGGACCTCTTCAAGGAGAACTACAAACCACTGCTCAACAAAATCAGAGAGGACACAAACAGATGGAGAAACATTCCATGTTCATGGTTAGGAAGAATCAATATCGTGAAAATGACCATCCTGCCCAAAGTAATTTACTTACAGACTCAACGCTATCCCCATCAAGCTACCATTGACTTTATTCACAGAACTGGAAAAAATCACCTTGAACTTCATATGGAACCAAAAGAGAGCCCACATAGCCAAGTCAATTCTAAGAAAAAAGAACACAGCGGTAGGCATCACACTACCAGATTTCAAACTATACTACAAGGCTACAGTAATCAAAACAGCATGGTACTGGTACCAAAACAGAGATATAGACCAATGGAACAAAACAGAGGCATCGGAGGCAACACAACATATCTACAACCATACAATCTTTGATAAACCTGACAAAAACAAGCAATGGTGAAAGGATTCCCTGTTTAATAAATGGTGTTGGGAAAACTGGCTAGCCATGTGCAAGAAGCAGAAACTGGACCCCTTCCTGACACCTTACACTAAAATTAACTCCAGATGGATTAAAGACTTAAACATAAGACCTGGCACCATAAAAACCCTAGAAGGAAATCTAGGCAAAACCATCCAGGACATAGGAGTAGGCAAGGACTTCATGAACAAAACACCAAAAGTATTGGCAGCAAAAGCCAAAATAGACAAATGGGACGTAATGAAACTCCACAGCTTCTGCACGGCAAAAGAAACAGTCACTAGAGTGAATCGGCAACCAACAGAATGGGAAACAATTTTTGCAGTTTACCATCTGACAAAGGGATAATATCCAGAATTTACAAAGAACTCAAACAGATTTACAGGAAAAAAACAAACAAGCCCATTCAAAAGTGGGCAAAGGATATGAACAGACACTTTACAAAGGAAGACATACATGAGGCCAACAATCATATGAAAAATGCTCATTGTCACTGGTCATCAGAGAGATGCAAATCAAAACCACATTGAGATACCATCTCACGCCAGTTAGAATGGCGATCATTAAAAAATCTGGAGACAACAGATGCTGGAGAGGATGTGGAGAAAAAGGAACACTTTTACACTCTTGGTGGGAGTGTAAATTAGTTCAACCATTGTGGAAGACGGTGTGGCGATTCCTCAAGGCCTTAGAAATAGAAATTCCATTTGACCCAGCAATCCCATTACTGGGTATATATCCAAAAGACTATAAATCGTTCTACTATAAGGACACATGTACACTAATGTTCATTGCAGCACTGTTTACAATAGCAAAGACCTGGAATCAACCAAAATGCCCATTGATGATAGACTGGATTGGGAAAATGTGGCACATATACACCATGGAATATTATGCAGCAATCAGAAATGATGAGTTTGTGTCCTTTGTAGGGACATGGATGAATCTGGAGAACATCATCCTCAGCAAACTGACATAAGAACAGAAAGGAAATACCACGTATTCTCACTCATAGGCGGGTGATGAAAAATGAGAACACATGGACACAGGGAGGTGAGCACTACACACTGGGGTCTCTTGGGGGGAATAGGGGAGGGACAGCAGGGGCGGGGAGCTGGGGAGGGATAGCATGGGGAGAAATGCCAGATGTGGGTGAAGGAGAGGAAGGCAGCAAATCACACTGCCACATGTGTACCCATGCAACTATCTTGCATGTTCTGCACATGTACCGCAAAACCTAAAATGTAATAAAAAATAATTAAATAAAAAGATAAATATCAACTAATTTTTATATGAGTTTATTAAATAAACTAATCAATGGTTTAATTATGAGCTGTTATAGGAGAGTGTACCACTACACTCCAGCGTGGTAACAAAGCACAGCCCTGCCTCAAAAAGAAAAAAAATTCAAGGTTGTTATTTTTCACTTCGCTTTCTGTCGTTTTCAGTAAGATACAATGCAAGATGCCTTGACAAAAATCTGACCCCCAGAAAGGAGTATTGGAATCCATTTTATGAAAGATTAGTACATAACTTTAAGTCTTCCTAAATATATAAAAGTACTATATTGTAAAATAAATTATCCAGCTAGCATCCCAGGTGGCCCTGTTTAAACACAAGGAAAAAATGGTATTCCTCTGTTCGAATTCTGGATGGCTTCCTGGTTCCTCAGAACAAATGCTGACATTCTGGGAGAGATCACTGGTGCTCATGTAGCTTTCACAGGTAAACCTGGGTGTTCTATACCGTTGAACACAAGAACACAAAAATCAGACAAGGTCATTCTGCGGCCATGACTGATCAAGACAACTTCCCTGTGTAAGAAATTCAGAAAGTAAGTGGCAAGCTCCTGCCCTCCATGAAATCAGACTCACCAAAGCTGGTAGGGAACTTTGAGACACCCACTCACTGGGGTCCCTGTCCCTAGTGCAGTACCATATGATCAGAAAGAGACCTCTTAGCTCCTGGTTTCTCCCAATGGGGGAAGGGGTTGGTTTCCAGGTCCAGCACCCCAACTTTTCCAAGGCAGCTCCCCAGAATATTGACCACTGTCCTGCTATTATTGAAGCCACAACAGGTCAACCACAGCTTATCATCCTGGAGGAGAGTGGGAACAGCAGCTCTGGCTGGCAAAGACTATAGCTCCCCATTCTGTTCCTTAGAGTGCTTGGACAAAAGTTATAGCTTCTTGCCTCTTCCTGGAGAGGTGAAGATTTGGTAACGGCCCACAGAATCTCTGCCCAGTCTGACTGATGCGGGTCATCTCCTATATGAGGTCAGACCATGAAGACCAGAAGAGATGGCTGCTTTGTCTAATGAGCAGACACCAACACAGACAGCACGAGAAAAACAAAACACAAAGAAAGACAGCAAAGGAGGAAGAGAACTGCTCATCATCCCTGATTATTAGGGAAATGCAAATGAAAACCGCATTGAGTATCATCTTATTGACACACGCCGGGATGGCTACTATCCAAAAACAAGACCACTGTTAGCAAGAATGTGGAAACTTTGCACACCGGTGGTAGGAATGCAAAATGGTGCAGCCACGATGGAAAGCAGTATGCAGGATCTTCAAAAAATCAAAATTAGAACTACCATATGATCCAACCATCTCACTTCTGGGTATGCAAAAGAACTGGTGTCAGGATCTTGAAGAGATATCTGTGCTCCCGTATTAATTTGTGGCATTATTCACAACATCCAAGAAGTCGAAACAGTGGAGCGTTGTTCAATCATCAGTGGCTGAACAGATAAAGAAAACGTGGCAGGTTGGGCACAGCGGTGCACGCCTGCAGTTCCAGCCATTCAGGAGGCGGAGGCAGGAGGACCGCTTGAGACCACGATTCAAGGCCAGTCTGGGCGAAGTAGCAAGACTCCATCTCTAAAAGTAAAAAGTTTTCTTTTGCAAAAGTTTTTAAAAAGAAAAAGAACATACAAAAACACACTTGTGTGTAATGAAATACTATTCAGCCTTTAAAAAGAGGACACTTCTGCAATAGGACGCCGTGAAAGACCTTGAGAACGTTAGGGTAGGCGAAGCAAGCCAGATACTCAAAGACAAGTCTGCATGATGTCTCTTATATGAGGGATCTAAAATAGTCAGATTCCTAAAATTAAAGACTGGGATGGTGGTGACTAGGGCCTGGTAATGGGGAAATGGGGAATTACTCAACAGACACAAAGTTTCAGCTAAGCAAGATGAATACACTGCAGAGATCAGCTGAATAACACCGTACCTGGAGTCGCCAATAATGGATTGTACACTTAAAATTTATTAGAAGAATGCATTTCATGTTAAGTGTTCTTACCACAATAAAATGAAATTTTTTTGAGAAAAGTAGTTCTCAAACCACAAAATGACCAAACATCCCCCTCTCCTGGCCAGTCTAAGTAACTGCCGCTTCTCTATAAACAGCTCCAGCCTTGCTTCTCACCTCGTAAGATGAAGCTCACACTGGGAACCTGCCCCTGCCTCCTGACCGTATCAGCTCTTACCAAAGCCCCATTCCCTGAAAGCCTCTTTCCAAATCACCTGCTCCAAACCCAGATCCTACGACCGTTCCTTTTCAACGCCCTCTTCCTGAGACATCGCGGTTTTCCACGGTGTTAGTTTTCTCTCACTGCAGCAAGCATGATGCGCCTTCCTCAACCACAGGTGTGTTCCTGAGGGTCTTCGGTAGTTCTCCAACATGATGTCGCTGCTTACCTCTTGTTATGAGTACAAAAACTGCAGAGTAGACACAAGAGAAAGCGTTTGTGCTGAGATTTTAGCTTTTTCCCCAGCAACCAGTACCTAGTGCTGGATGGTTATCAAGACATTATGGTGAGGCTTGTTATTATTAGTATAAATGTATTTTTCAAATTTTTTCTTATTGATAATTTCAATTTTTGTGTGATTTATTGTTAGGTCTGATTTTTTTTCCTACCTTATATGTGACTGATAATGAGCTCGATTTTTTTTTTTTTTTTTTTGAGACAGAGCCACTCTGTCACCCAGACTGGAATGCAGTGGCGCAATCTCAACTCACTGCAACCTCTGCCTCCTGGGTTCAAGCAATTCTCCTACCTCAGCCTCCGTAGCAGCTGGGATTACAGGCACACACCACCATGCCTGGCTAATTTTTTGTATTTTTAGTAGAGATGAGGTTTTGCTATGCCAGCCAGGCTTGTCTTGAACTCCTGGCCTCAAGTGACCCGCCAGCCTCAGCCTTCCAAAGTGCTGGGATTACAGGTGTGAGCCACTGCATCTGGCCACAAACTTGTTTTAGGTGTAAGAATAATAACTCTACCTTTTCTTAATTTTAGCTTGTGTTTTTATTGCCATTATCTTCAATTCATTATTTCTTCACAGGAATCTGTTAAGTGTCCTGTTCATTTTGTAGAGTTGGTTTAGTTAGTATCAGAGAGTGTAATCTGCAAATACATGTCACTAGGCTCAACCAAACTGTAAGCTATTACAATATGTTGAAAGCAAACAGAGAGAAAGGGATGCTCTTGATCCCAGGCGTGGTGGATGCCACACTGTTCTCTGGGAGGTCTGGCAACTTTTACACCATTCCTAGCACTCATTCATTTGCTGGGCAAATATTTCATTCCTCTGCCTGGCAACTGTGCTAGCATTCATTCATTCACTGGACAAACATCAGTCATTCGCCTGGCAACTGTGCTTGAAAAGTGGCCACACAGGCCTCATGATAACACAGTCTCCCCAAACTGAACACTCTTGAAGTTCAATTGCCTTTCTAGTACACGAATACATGCAAAAAAGCTCTAGTATTTCCCTCGTGCACCCTAATCAAGCAAAATGCTGCTTTGCATTCTATCTTTAGTGAAGGACCAGTTTTCTTCCCATCTTCTTGAACAAATACTTTTGCAAGAATACGATAAAAATAAATTACTGGGAAAATGATTGTTTTAAACATACAAAATACAAATATAAGATGCATCAAATGTGAAATTCCTCTGTTATATCGGGCTGCGTGTGTTTTCAAATGCTCACTCTGATCTTCATTCTGATCTCATTGCAGGCCCAGAGTCTGCCAGCCGGCACCAGCACTGCACCTCCCTCTGGGGAGCTTTGGCCCAGAACCCTGAAGGAGACGATCCACTCCATGAGGGTAGGAATGGCAGCAATACTGCTTTCCCTGCGTATCCAGTACCTGCCATGAAGCCTGGAATGCAGAGTGTCCTCAACAAATATTTGTCCAGCGAATGAATGAATGCTAACAGGAACGATGTAAAATGAGCGCCATTCATTCATTTACATTTATGGGGCATTATTATGTGTCAGACATTGGTCAAACTAGGAGACAAAGCATGGGATGAAACAGACTAAATTCCTGGTCTTATGTTGCTTGTGGGAATAAAGTATTAAATAAATTAAATGTATTTATTTAATCAAATAATAATTTAAAAGTTACTTTTAATTTAATAATAAATTAAAAACCAGGAATATGTATCAGGTGAATGTCTTTAAAAAGTTTACATCCTTTGATTTCATTAATTTAGGAGAAAAAAATCTAAACATATATAAATATACATGTATATGTTATATAAATATATATACAGAAACATACTCTGTATACAGAAAACAATCTATGCTCAGTAGTAAAAAGTTACAAATCTGCCACCTAACAATCTGGCAGGCTGCAAAGGAATGTTTAAATACAAGTTTGGAAAGTCCACTTGGTAGGTTGCTATGCAATCGTTAAAATAGACCTCAATTATACTGAAATCTTTGTGGATGAAATGGTTTGATGTTTGGGGTTTGCTTCGAACCACTCTAGGAGGCAAGAAGGACGAGGGTGAGAGTGAAGGGTTAGACGCATGGGTGGCTTCTATCCCGAACAAGAAACCTGTGCCTTTGCATTCTGACAGCAAATCCTTCCACGGTGCCCACCACGTGCCCAGCACTACACTAAGTGCTGAAGTTATTTAGTTTTAATCTCACAAAAGCATGGTTTTGAAGTTGGTACCAATGTTAGCACCAATTTGCAGGGCAGGGAAATGAGGCACAGAGAGATGAAGTAACCAGTCTCAAGTCACACACTTGCTGAGTGACGGAGAGAGGCTTCACCCTGGGCCCTCGAGTATGTCCTGTGAAGTGCCACACACCACAGGTGTAACCACAGCCCATGCCAGTGGGTTTCCAGAAGAGACTTAGCTTCACCCCAAAGGTGAATGACAGCCTAATTCCTGTCAAAAGGGTACATAAGAGGAGGCTCTGAAAAGACATTTTCATCTGTCTTCACCTCCCCATCAAATGTTTACTTCAAACCTCTCAAGGTCAGCCGTTGTTGTGGTCACAAAATCCTTGTACCTCTCTAATCCCTGTCGAGCAGTCTCTGCTGGAAAGAAGTGTCTACCAAGTCCTTGCCTTAGGAATGGAGTGTAGCCCAGTGCTGATGACAATGAAAGTCTTCTTTTCTTTCTTTCTTTATTTTTTTAAATTTATTTATTTTACTTTAGGTGCATACTGTATCTGGCATTTCTCCCCATGTTATCCCTCCCCACCCTCCCCTCCCTCCCCACCTCCCGCGAAAGTCTTCTTTTCTCTTTGACATTTAGCTTCATGGATGGTGACACATCCTTTTCCGTGTGCCGCATTCACAGAAACGAAGGCATTAACAGAAGTGTGTTAACAGAAGCACGCCCTGTTCCAGGGCTTCAGGTGGCTTGACCTGGCCTAAGCACAGTGTTTGATGCTTCGCAGGTGCTGATCGGCTATGCTGGCTCACCTCCAGGTTTTTACATATGCGATTCCCTCTGTAAGCCCCTCTTCTCTATCCTCACCTGGCTAACTGCAAACTCATCATTCAGGTCTCAGTTGAGATGCGCTTCTTTTGCTTCCCAAGTATCAGTCAAAACTCCTTTAAGTCACTCTGGGGTTCCGCTAACACACCTGGATTGTAGTCACCTGTTTACCTCTATTGCCCCCAGGGTGTGTGCTCCAAGACAGCTGGAACCATGTCAGAAGCGTTCATGTTCACCCTTGGAATCGGAGCAGTGGCACAGTTGCTAGTGTGTAATATCCACCGGAAGACCGGATTTTAAAATGCCATAAGGGCATCTGATTATGAATAGGGTCCAGCGTATTGTTGGTATTCAAAGGCTGCTGAGAGCAGACACACTTAAGCAGCAGCAGAGCCCAGCAAGTGTTCTTGATGCTACGCAGCTGATTCCACCTATAGCCTGGGTGAAAATGGAATTTGGAAAACTAAAGAATTTAGGAGTGAATGTTTGTTCAATGGAGAAGGTTAGGAGATAGCAGCAAAACCAAATTATGTTGTCTAGCCACATGAGATTAATGTGTTTATACAAATCCCTTTTAGGGAGGTCTTACATACGTCACCTCAGAGTGACCTAAGCACGGAGTTCACAGGAGAACGTGACGGTTAAGAGTCAGATTCTGAGCACCTTCTATTCACACCACCATGGAGAGTTTCCGTTTTTTTAGGGGCAGTGCCAAAGGCGTTCCGCGGGCACTCAGTGATCAAGGGACAAGGGAGTAACTTCAGCAGATTCATGATTTTGTGTGAGGAAATGTCTGTACGGTGTGCAGGCAAAGCCAGGGAGAACACTCTGGAAGCTCTTACGACAGTCGAGGAGAGTTGATCAGGGCTGAACTAGGGCTGTTTTCTAAACTCAAATGATCGCCTCACAACTTGACTGTTTTTGAATGTAAATACGGTATCCTTTATTTTTTCTTTTCGGTGGCTCATTTTAAACAGAAAGCTTATATTCTTACCATCACCATACGTGGCTTGACGGTATTGCTTGTTATAAACAGAAGGTAGAAAGAAAAATAAACTCAGGCAAACAAAACCCACCTCAGCCGGAAGCCAAATTAGAAAGACTGCGAGGCTGCAAATCTCTCACACCACCAAGCCCCAGTCCCTTGTTGGAATGATGGGGTCAGCCCAGGTAAAGATAATGTGGAGTAATTTCGGGCAAGCAGTATAAAAAGTGAAAGATATGAAAGAGAAAAGTACAGATACACAGAGAGATAGATAGGATATAGATATATGTGGCAGAAATCACAGAAGTCACAGAAATGGCAAAAAAATAAAGTTATTTTAAATAAATGTGTGGTAATGGTTTTGAATCTGTCAGGTTATGGGCCCCAAGTTCTTCGACTCAAACTTGATTTACAGCTGAACCTAAGAATCACAAGGTTTTCACTAAGAAACCCTTGGCAAATGTGTTTTAACAATACAAAGTAGCAGCTTACCCATCGCTTCGTGTTTAGAAAGATAGACAAGAAGAGTTGAGCCGGGTGGGAGCCCACAGTCCAGGATGATCACTTGGGGCTGCCAGGACTTTGAGGCTACAGTGAGCTATGATCCTTCCAAGAAAAACACAAAGAAAATCACATCTCTAGTTGCTCTGTACTCTGCGTCTCTCTTTCCTTCTCAGTTTCTTAAAAGAACAACAGCAGAATACACTTTTCTATACAAATGGAAAGTTTACCTTAGTAAATCCAAGGGTCTGTAAGCTTAAAATTTTGAAACTATATTTCAGCATATTAGTTGGAGAAAACTGTTTGTTTCCTTAAAGTTATAAACAATTGGCCGGGCGCGGTGGCTCACACCTGTAATCCTAGTACTTTGGGAGGCCGAGGCGGGTGGATCACGAGGTCAAGAGATTGAGACCATCCAGGTCAACATGGTGAAACCCCATCTCTACTAAAAATACAAAAAATTAGCTGGGCACGGTGGCGCATGCCTG